AAAAAAAAAAAAAAAAAAAAAAAAAAAAAAAAAAAAAAGGAAAACAGAACAAAAAAAACTCATTTCTTGTCATCACTTATTAAAGGAATCTGTATTTTTGCTGTATGATGCTGTGGAGATTAGTGTAATGAACAGTCAAATGGAAAGAAGAGGCAGATTCAGTATGTGCAAGTATCTCAGTTTTATAGAATGCCTCTGCCTAAAAATGTGCAGTGGAAACAGGTTGAACCTAAATTTCCCAGAAAGATTTGTACTTGCATTTCAGTGGGCATGATTTGTTGCAGATAGTCTTATTATCTCACCTAATATTTGTGCCGCAGAAATCTGATGTTGATTCTGTTTCTTACTTCACTTTTGAGTGTTTTATTAACTCACTAAACTTTCAGGGCAAAGTCAAAATGAAGATGCAAAATGGAGAAGACATAAAAACATCTAAGTACTACGGATTTATGTGGTAAAGCAGAATGCTGATGCTGGGTGTATATTAAATTGTTCCTTTGATCAGCTTCCTGGAAGAAGTAGTACTCTGCATTTGCTCTCACGATCCACAATATTTTCTGAAAATTATTTTAATCAACTCAAAGACAACTCTGTCCTTGTTTGGAATTGTGTTGTTCTTTATGTGGGGGGCAAGGTAGGGACAGTGTTAGAGACATGCTGTGGTCTTTTAGATCTGCAGAGGACTGTAGGCATGTTTCCATTATGATATTTAGGTCTTAAGCACAAGAGGTAATTTATTTTCCAAAATGTCTAAGAATTGGGTAACACACTTAGATTAATTACTCTTTTTTGGATGCGATTCACCTCTGACATTTTATTTCTTAAAAAAAGCCAATGATCTCCATCATGAAAAATTACACTGCAACATTGTGAATCTTTTAATATCAAACATGCTCATAATTTTATGTGTATTAGAATACAAGTTTCCGAGCCACTGCTCATGATTCGTTTATGAAATGTTTTGGGGTGGGCAGTGTCAGAGCTGATGGAGCCTTCCTATGATAGTGCCCATTGAGAGTCTGTTACAGGGTTGGGGAACTCAGTCTGCAGCAATATGGAGTTGTGTCTTTATAAGCCAAAGGTGAAATTCCTCAGTGACATGAGGAAATATGCACACAGCTTCCTGTATCAAGCTTTTGGTGGATAATCTCTCTGTGTTGGGAGATCTTTGGCCATGTTGATGGTTGCAAGATGATACTACGGCATAAGTTCATGTGATTTCATTAGGCACGGTTAATGTAGGCTCCCTGTGTACTCTTACGTGTCAGCAAATGGCAGAAGAGACATATTAAAGTATGTGTTTTATAAGCATACTTAATAAATACTCCAGATTATTAATATAAAAAGGATACCTTTGGAGTATATCAATTACAACTCTCCATACTCAAAAAAAAAAAAAAAAAAAAAAAAAAAAGAGATACTGTGATTCTTTATGTGTGTTCCTTATTCAGAACATGTGAGAAACAAACAAGAAAACAACCCTTTAAATAAAGACCTTGTTGTAAGTACCTATATTTCTTAATAAACTAGCGTAATAAGGGAATGTATTGCTACTTAAAAAAAAAATTCAGTAGTGATAGTAATCTGAGAGCTGTTTTCATTTTCAGGAAGACATTTTATGGAAATAACCTTGATTTTATTAGCTTGTGTACTATTTTATACCACAATCAGAAAGAATGATTACATTTATTATGGAGAACTGAACAATTAACAGGGTTAATAGTCCTAAAGATAAGATTGGAATGCTTTCTGTATGTGACTATGAGATCAGATTTAAAGCAAAAAAAACAACAAACCTACAACAAAACCACACAAACAAGTACATTATAGTTCTGCTTTCTGCTTCTTCAGAGTTAGTGCAAAATTAATTTTGAAAAATCATTTTCTACTCAAGTTTACTGTATCAATAGTCTGAAAACTATTTTGTAGCCTGACTAATTATGCAGTTTTAAAGCCTCTGCTTATCTAGGACTAATATGTCTTGGCCTTAATTCTGGGGCTGCATTGTGATTTACCTAAGATGGAAAGAAAGCATATAAGTATTTTACAGTAGTAATTTAGAATACATTAATTGTTCATGATTTACTTTATGAAGCAAAAAATCTCCCCAAATACACATCTTTATGAATACAAGATGTAACTGTAAGAAATTTCCATATGAAGGCATGAAAAAATAGTATAAAGAACATTTCCCTATATTTATGTTTTTCCATATTAAAAAATCAATTGAAGTGAGTTTTATATGATGGAATCAGAAAGGGTCAATTCATTCCCTCTCTTTAGTTGTCACTGAGGGGCCTGTTTTCGCAGCACTGAAGAAGTGATTTAAACAATAGAGGATATAATGGTATTGTCATACATTTCTTCCTTTTTAAATACACTCCCTTATTTAAAAGTTACTTGCATGGCAGACTGTTTTGGAGCTAGAGTTTTCTAACACAAGTCAGCTAGCTGAAGATAAGTTTGAGCTTGTGCAACATGTAGTTTTGATATAAAAAGTCACAGATTTTTTCTAGGGTATCTTATCAAAACCTATGCACTAGGGAACATAAGATAATTCTACTTGAAGTGAAACCCTTGTATATAATTTTAACTAGCATCTTTAATGCAATGAATCATTTTATTACTATAACTAGTAACTAGTTATGTAGCAAATACTTCAATTACAACAAATTCTGCTACTGAAGAAACTTCAAGCTGAACCATCAGAATATAGCAGGAATCTATCTCATGATGAAACTACAGTGATTTCTTAAACAAATAAAGGCTTTCAACAACAAGTAGTTTTTCAACAATCTTAATTTACAAAGATATTTTGCATGCTTCTTTTAAAAAAGGGAAAAAAATAATGAAGAGGGTAAAAGATAATGGATCTTTTTACACGTCTGTTACTGTGAAGTGTTACTGAGTAGAATTTTTTTTTTATGTTTGTAGACATGAAATAGTTTAACTCTTCAGCTGTAATCCTAAAATTCCCAAATACTGTTTTCTGTACTGTGTAGGAAATATAACAGTGGGTTAAAAATGGCACCCTACAAAATCTGCAGTGAATTTGTCCAAGGAACATGATCAGTGATAGTCTTAAATTTGGGCATAGCAATGTGATAGCAGACATCATTCAAATAAACACTTAAATGCTGTGTATATAGTTATTTCCTCTTCTTGGTTAAGCATAACCTGGAAAGTTTTCCTGTACACGTAATCTTTACTGTAACTATTGTTTAGCAGTGTAAGGAGTAGTTCTCTGTACAGGCTCCCTTGCAAAGCAAGAATATTTGAAATTCTGCCATGCAGCATTTAAAAACATGTAATTAGCAAGCAAAATTCAGCAACCTTATGTAGAGATTCAAGTGACTTCCTGGGTGGGGTTTGTTTGGGTTTGTATGTGTATGCTGATGAGCAATGCACCTACCCAAAATGTCCACCTTCTGTTCAGAGAAGGAAAATAATTTATTTTCTATGTACCTCAGTGGTTCTGAAAACTGCACACTGCCATTGCATTCTGCATGAAGAAGTTTTAGAGCAGGAAACCATCTTCTGAGAGCATGTGAGATCCACTGCTGCCATTGCAGCAACACAACACGTGACTGGGAGGGACTGTAAAGAGGAGGGGGAACTCTTGCTTTAGTGTTTATGTTGCTTCAGATCTTTGTTAAGAATGCCTGCACAGCCAGCTCATTGTCACTGTTGAAGAACATGAATAGTTGTAAAAATAGGCATAATAAGCTAAATAGATGGGAACTGAGGATAGTCCATATTTGTATTACACTTCCTTACTGTTTGAAACAGAGAGAACAAAATAGCATATGAATCTACAGTCTCTTTACACAAAGCAAACAAGAGTAGTTTTTTTAGAACCTTTACACCACTTTTTGACAACAAAATGTGTAGAAGGTCACAGGAGATAGGAAGCTTCCTGGATGTACCTGAGTTCATGAAAGAACTAGAGCCAGTATAACTTCTGATAAGGTAATTCCATGAAGCATTCCAAGATTATCAGAAGAATTGCACTGTATCATAAAAAAAAAAAATGCAGGTAGAATATAGCATGCAGAGGCAGTTTTCCAGCTCCTCCCACTGTAGCACGCAAGAGACACGGTTATAGTTAACTTTGGATAATCAACCACTGTAAAACAGAATGGAAAGCTTGTACATTTGAGCAGCTTTTTCACTGTTTTTGCTCTGAATGATGAGGGTCTCGGAACCAATACTAGACATGGAAATGGCAAACTACAGTGAAGTTTTAGATCCTGCGTACACCGCACTGGAGTTTGAAACTATGCAGATTCTGTACAATGGCAATGGTGAGTTCTGCTCCATGATGCAAAATCATGCCAGTTAGTGGGAAATGTGAATTTTATTAATGTTTTAAGATGTTAGCAAAATGTTTTATTAATGGCAGATTTGGTGATTGTTTTCAAACTACAAATCATCTCTATCACACTTCACTGTTAACTCTACGTTAATGACGTTATAATTCTTTAACATTAAGGAAAATAAAAGAGTGGTTATATGTAATAAAATAACTGAACTGTACTGTCATCATTCAGTTAATCAAAGGAAGAAAATGTTGTATTCAGCAGTTGTTTTATTTACTGTAAGACAAATGAATAACTAGTATTGACAGTTGGGACATGAAAGTAAATGTTATATATAGCATTCAGAAGGACACGACAAGATTATCCAGAGGTTTGTGGAAAAAAAAAACAGCTACTGCTTCTCGATGCCTAATTTCTATTTGTGGGACATTTTATTCATTTAAATGTTAAAATAATCATTCTAAGTATGTGTATATATGAATGAGGGTGATTTTTTTAAAAATCATGTTGGCTCTCTACAGGCTAATGTTTAGCTGAGGAAAACTACTGGCATAAATTATTGGCTAATGCAGCGTTTTAACTTCAGCTAGATTTTTTTTTTTTTTTTTTTTTTTTTTTTTGTGAGAAATTGTACCAATTGTACCAGTGCTTGGAATAGGAAGCACACAATTTCATTCTGCCATCTTTTTGCATTGAACAAAAATGGGTAGTTTCCGTCTATTAAAGTAAAGAAAAATATCAAGTGAATTAAACTCCCCTAAAGTGTCTTTCCAAATCTTTTGATATATTTGAGAATTAGTTTTAGTTGTATTTCTAATACAGATATAGTATTTATGAAATATTTATGAAATATATTGAAATGTAGAACAAATACTTAGTGATTTGCAGGAAAAATGCTAAGCACATTCCATTTCCCATGTCAATGTATTCTTTCAATATAGAATCAAAGTTAATTTTTATTACTGGATTTGAATTTTTATTTGAATTTCTAGTATTACTTTACAACCAGCTCAGTAAACAGAAAAGTAGATTTTATTATTGATTTAGGAAGAAAAACAGACCTTCACTGCCTAAATGATTTTGAAGCTATCAACAATGATTATGTAAGTTTTAGAGGATTTATCTGATTTTCCTTTTACTATGGATGATTTCATTGGTCATTTGTTTTTTGCTGAATCTCATTTTTTCTGATCTGTTAATGTTACACAGAATGGGAAAGTTGATTAGGGAGGTTATGCTGTGTTGTGTGTTAGTGATCCAGTTAGTTAAATTATTCACTGTAAATGATTACTTTGACAACTGTTTTTTACTAAATTAGTCCTTATTTTCTTCAGAGTTTTCTTTGAGGTTAGGCTAAGTATTTTCTGATAGATTTAATAAAAAAGGTTGACTTCCATCTACAGTGCTAGGTTGGATCTGAGAGCTGCCTTTCTGAATTTTCAGATGTGTATTTTCAAAACTTCTAAGTTCATTAAAACTATTCAGAGAAATTTAACTATTCACATTCAGACAGGTTGTACAGTTCTGTTGAACAAACTGCAAAATCAAGTCAATTTCCCAGACATTTTCTTTCAGAGTATTACCCAAAGAAAACAAGTATCTCCATATATATGTACGCATGTGCATAAACACAGACACAAGGAGATACAAGTCATACTGCTATGAAATATTTCATCATTACATTTAAATATTTTAATTATTTGGATATGTCCTGATCCAAAATCACTAAAGTCTGAAGTAAAGCTTTTATACTTTTCAAATGAAGCTACCCTGTAGACTATTTTTTAAAATAATTTTTTGGTCATAACAAACCCAATTTTAAAACAGTAAATTCTTCAGGGAACTGAATTCTTACCTTTTTATTTTTATTTGAACATTTTAAAATCAACTATATCTCTGTACAGAAAAAGTTGATGCTAATTTTTTCTTTGTCTAAAGAATTCTATTTACATTGTAAATTCCTTAGGGAATAAGCAAAATTTTATTGTATTTTTGCAAGACACATTTCAGATGCCTCTTCTACAATATAAATGATGTTTATCAACATTAACAGTTCTGCTTTTCAACATTTTTACTCTTCATGAACTCATGTATTTCTTAATGCAAGCTTGAATATTTAAGTAATGTTAACCTCTTTTCTTTGAATAACTACAAAAGTTTAATGGATACTAAGGTTTTCCTTCCATAAGAACAGAAGCATACTCAGAAAAAGATCTATATTCATAAAATGTGTCTGTTAAGCCTTGTGATTCAAAGGATAATAAATATGGCTATTCTGATTTTATATGAATTCAGTATTGTTTTCCATGTTCAATGATTAAATGTTAAGCATATTTAGATAATGTTCTCTCACAACTTTTAAGTCAATCTTCCTTTGAAAAAATTGTTCAAGGAAGTAAAACTACTAAGCTATGCTAAGAGGACTCTCTTAGCATTCTTTCCTTAAGTCTATTGTATTTTTTTTAAATAGAATTGATTTTTTCACTGATAGTCAACAGTTACTGCCATATCTTATTAGACGTGGTATATGATGTCTGCCATCTATCCATGTAATGTTGCTTTATGCCAAAGTTTCTCCTATTGTTAGTTAGAATACATGTAATTACACATATATGTATTTAGAATACATGTAATTAGACCTGCAAGGTTACATTTACTTTATAACCCCTTTCAGTTGGAAACAGTTTGGAATAAAATTATTTGCTGTTGAGAACTTCGTAAATTCTGATATTCTGACTCTATAAATTTGATAGTGTTCATCAGAATAGCTGTCAGATATATCAAATACAATGTGATAATTAAATAGTGACAATTAAAAAGAAAAAAATAAAAACAAAAACAAAAACAGAAAAATCCTTATTTTTTAAGTATAAATTGTCTATGTTACTTTTTCAAAACGTTGTCCATAACTATATATGTTGTTCTTCTCTCTTTTCAGACAGTTCTGGAGAACCTCTCAACATGAATGCTACTGACAGCGGGATCAGCAGTCTCTGTGCAATATGTGGAGACCGAGCAACTGGAAAACATTATGGTGCTTCCAGTTGTGATGGATGCAAAGGATTCTTTAGACGCAGTATACGGAAAAATCATGTTTATACATGCAGGTATTTAAAAAGTTAATCTAGAGGCACTAAATTAATGAGTGTATGCAAACATTACTTTCAGACATTTTCAGAATTTTCAGACATACATAGGGGTATTTTCAGCTGCTTTTGAAGGAATTCTAAACAGCACTTCCGATGGAGCTTGCAAGGATGTTATGTTCCTATAATGTGGAAAAAAATCCCTTTCATTTAAGTCTAATGAATTGGACCACCTATAAACGGCTTCTCTGATATGGAATCTTTGTAGCACTATATATGCTCCTAAAGACAACATATTAAGTTAGCTTTTAAGACCTCATGAGAGTATTCTATTCATTGATGATTTTTTTTTACTTGTAGGACTTGCAGACAAAATGTTAAAAATGAAAAGTTACCAACAATTTAATGGGCTTCAAGACAGCACTTTTTAAAAGTCTAACTTTAATTATCAAAGCTGGGCTGAATGTTTTAAATATTTTATATCAATTGTTTTTTCGTTGTTGTTGGTTTTGTTTTTTTTTTTCCTATGAATTAACTTGGTATCACTACCGGAACAAAAAAATGTTTATACAAGTATAGATACTCAGGTATCTTTTTATTAGGGAAGATCTGTTCTGTTAGAGTTTCCACGTGTCCATTGATGTGGTTGATGTCCTTGTATTACTGAAGTGCAGTCTTGGTCTTTTATTTATGATTACAAAGAATAATAGAAACATAGAACAGCTAAAGTTGGAAGGGACCTCTAGAGGTTATCTGGTCTGACCTCTTTGCTCAAGCAGGGACACCTAGACCAGAGTGCCCACGACCATATCCAGAGAGACAACCCCTGAAAACAAAACAAAACAAAACAAGAAGAAAGAAAATGAAAAAAAAAATCTTGTTTTTTCACTGGAAAGTGTGATTCTTAACTGATTTTTAATTTTGATTTTAGAATTGTTCTCTGCTAAGGCAGTTTCTATAGAAAAACTAAAATTTATGAGTTTTTTTAAAGACAGATCAAGTATATACACACATCTTCCCACTTCAGTTGTGCACTGCTCTTTTAGTGACTATTACCCTCCTTGTCAGTCTGAATGGCAACCTGTTAACTTTTCTGTGCCTAGCTGCCCAAATTGTCATTCTGCAGCTGTGTGTACCATGTTTGAGGAATTGCTCTGTGCATGCCTGAGTCCTTAAGATGTCAGTTTTAAGCCATGCACAGAATATATTTGTGAGTTTAGACAGATAGATAAAACTGAAAACTTTCTTTGTAGCGTTGTTGCTGGAAATGTTGTTTGCTCCACTCTTCCTTAGATACTTAGCATTCTAATTGTGGATATATGATCATAGAATGCTTCTAAAATGGTGTAATAAGAGCTGTAGCTGAGTCCGAGTAGAGCTCTGAAGAGGATAGATCTATTTATCTAACACATACAAAAAAAAAAAAAAAAAAAAAAAAAACCAACAAAAAAACGGCAAAAGCAAATGGAGAGGAGGGGATGCCTCATATGCATTTTCCTTAGGAACTGTGGATGTGCATGAGAGCCAGAAGAACTTTCTTGCAGTGTCACAGTCTGTGTTTTTCTGCATCTTTATTGCGGTATTCAGGTTTTTTTTCCTCCTATTTCCTGTTTGATTTCTCACCTATAGTGATATTACAGGTAACTTGTTCATTTGTTAGCTCCCAGAAGTAAACTTTGCCAACCAAAGGTACTGGTTTTGCAGGAGTGGGTGGGCTGCTCTGTGCTGGTGACAGTTGACATTTTCATCAAGTATCCTATCCTTCTTCTATTAGTAGCATTTCATCCCAGCCCTTTCTGAGTAGGCAGCATTTGCATATCTCACAATAAAGTATAACTCAAAAATATTCCATTCTTGCCCATTGTAATACGTATTTTATACATAGATACACACATGTGCTTGCAAAATAAGGAGGTATGAAATCTCTCAAGACTGACTGACAGGGAAAAAAAAACTGCAGAAGAAATTCTGTGGTCATAGACATAATTTTGAGAGCACAAATTAATTAGTTCTCCTCTTCAAAGCCAGAGTGGTGCTTTATTAATGCATTGTATGTTTACCTTATTTTGTCTCTGATAGATTCAGCCGACAATGTGTTGTTGACAAGGACAAAAGGAATCAGTGCAGATATTGTCGTTTAAAAAAATGTTTTCGAGCAGGAATGAAAAAAGAAGGTAATAGACTCATTTGTTATTTGACATGCTTAAAGTAATAGAATCTAAGTTTAAAAATTTAATCAAAATTCCAAATTTAATCAGAATTCAAAAAAAAATTAACAGCGGAATAATTAAATGGGAAATCTGGCAGCTATACTGCCTGCATGATGGAGATTTTTACTGAGGTGAAGTATGTATCATCTAATTTTCAGGTGGGTAAGCAGTTTTAATAGTTTGGGCATTATCAAACATGACAGGTTTCAAGTGAATCTCGACTGCTTAATCCATGAATCCTGGCACCAAAATTCATTGCTTTCTAAGTGCCATATGCCTGGAAAAAATTCAAAGCACAGAATTTCAGTTCTGATTTATAACTTTTTCCAAATTTCAATCATAAAATGCATGTTTTGCATTGTGTTTCTATAACCTACCTGAGCTACAGGGCTGACTTGCTTATTGTTCCCTTCATTTTAAGTGTTTGAAACTCTTAAGAAAGAAGTGTGAGGTAACTGTGGTAACTGTTAGTGGAGTGTCAACAATCAGGAATATTTCCAATCTCGCTGGGACTTAATATGTGTACGTGAGATATACTTGTATATATGTGAGAAAAGATACTTATGCATCTACCTCAAAAAATGTGAAGAAACATGGATCTTCTGGTGATCTTGAGGACATGGAGGGAGAAAGTCAGTAGGAATATCAGAGAATTTTTATACCAAGTTGTTGGGCTTGTTGCTTCACTTTCAGTTATAATGTAGTGGCAAAAGGCATCCTGATCTGGTTCAAATAAGCAGTCAGAGATGATTATTTCATTGCAAAATTTGTGTTTTTTGTGATGCTCTTTGCAACCTGTTTTATTTGGAATATGATATGTCATCTGGAAGGCCAGTCTGCAGTGGAAGTGCATGACTGTCCTGTAACTAGACTGTATCATGATAGTTTTAGTCTAGACATTGCTTTCCTAAAATGAAGGAAGCTGTTTATGCTTTTAAGTATCTGTAGTATCATATTGCTTTGCTAGTATTCGAGTTATAGTGTGAGATAACAGGATTTTTTTCCTTGTAAGTACAGACAAACAGTCTAACTAAACAGGTAGTACTGTGCTTGTATGAAATAGGTTTGATATTTTTGTGGAACAGAGTTTATTTTTCTGGAATTTGAACCATTAAAGTCAGTAACATGTCAATTATGTATATGACATGGAAAAAAAAAAGGAAGACCTTCGTATACATAGCAACCCTAGAACTTCTGCAAAAAGCAACGCTTTGTAGACGTTCAAAAATGGGAAATAAAGAACATTTTAGCTAAGAAGGGGCGTCTGGAAGTCATCTGGCCCAGGCCCCTATTTAAAACAGGTAATTTCTAGGTTCAGTCAAGTTGCTAAGAACTCTATCCAGCCAGGTTTAGATAGTCCCAAAGAGAGGGCATTTCTCAATCTCTGTCAGCAACTTTTTCCACTGCTTGACCACCCTCACTGTGAAGATTTTCTTTGTAATATCTAACTAGAATGTCTCATTTTGCAGTTAGTGTAGTCTCTATTGCCTTGGCCTTTCACTACACGTGTGAGAAGGATCTAGGTCTACTGAAATTAGACCACCTCCACCTTGGTCCTCTTTTTCCTATAAAATCAAATACTCTGCTTCACCTTGGACATCATGTGGATTACAGCACCATAGCCCTTCACTAGGCCCAGTTTTCCAGTGTTTCTTGCACACTGGGTAGCCCACTGCACAGTTAGCTAATGTGAACACAGGGCATATTGCTGACTCGTGTTGTAACTGAAAATATATATCCTGTTCAGAATTTTAATCTCATTTACACTATTCTGCCTCTTTCAGTTTCACTACCTATAAGGCTTCCATTTTTCCCCATATCCAAGTCATGTTTATTCAAGGCTTCCCAGCAGTAAAATAATTCAAGAGACTGAACTATAGATTTCACTGCTCATATGCTGTTATGGACCTCTCTCTAGACAATCAGATTATCTCTTATAGCATAAGTGTAGCATGGTTTGTATGATATATTCTTAGCTTGATTCCAGGAAATCACTTTCTTTCCTTCAAGGCAAAGGTGAAAAGGGCTTCAGCTGGTAGAGGCTATACAAGCCCTCTTTGAGCAAATATTCCTCCTTCATTACAGTGTCTGAACAAAGGGTCTACAAAGATAGACAATTCAGTACATCTGAAAGTGTGTATTCCCAAGAAATAATTTGCCTATCATTCCCAAGTGCTCTGCTAGTGACTTTCACTAGTGATTGGCAGAATAGCTTACTATTTTAATATTAGTTACTATTGACATTATTTTAATTAGCTATGTGACACTAAGCTTCTGAGATTAAAAGTGTTTTTTCTCCATTTTTTTTTAAAAGCTATATTTTTTGTCTCAGTTCTTCAGGCATATTTAGCACTTCGTATTTATCACTGCACAACATTTCTTATTGTGACTTTAATAAAAGGTCCATCATTGAATGTCCTTGGCAAAAAGTTACTGCTCCTCAGGAATAAACTATGTGCATTGTTCAGATAAACCCTGAAAACAATTCAGTTATTTATTTATTTATTTACTTTCTTTTTTTATTGAAGCCTTTGGAGCTGCTCACAAAACAGCAAACATATCTTTGGAAATAAAGCTGCTGCTCTTAAAAGATTATGAGATTCCTTGTGCAGTAAAAAATATTTTGATCAGTATAATTCTTTTTTTTTTTTTTTCCTGGCCTAACCTTGGACATGCTCTAGGTTATAGAAGTATCTGATTGATAGTTTTATTTTTCATTCTTCCTTGAATTCAGAGGTAAGCCTTGTTGCTTCATAAGCCTTGCATGCACTGATTAAGGATTCCCTATTTAAAGTCCTTTCAGCTACCTTTTTTTGTCCCCCCATGGGACAAAATATACCTTCCTGGAACCTTTTTGGTGCTTTTTTGTTCTTTAATTTCTTACTTAGTTAATGTTCTGTAAACTGGCTAGAAATTCGTTGTCGAAGTACGATATTTAAGTCTCAAAATTATTTTACTAGAATATTTAGTTCATTTTCCATTGCTGTATCAAGGTTTCTTGCAGGAAACTACCTCTCACTCAGACATTTTTCACGGTGCTGTACCTCTTGACCCATTCAGCAGTACTGAGATGTCCATTTCTGTCACTATCGGAAAGGTTCATTTATTGAAGTTCATTTTCTAGCTACAGTTGGTTGTATTAAGTTTTATAGGCAAACATCATAATGTGGATAAGGACCATGAACATGTACTGTCATTCGTTCTCACTAGTTAGAGCTGAAAGCACAAAGTTTTTTGAATGCCATTCTTCTTATAATTATCTAGTAAGCCTCTGTAATGATATTGTGTGGCAATTTTTACAAGTCAATAAATGAGACAATTATTCTCTTCCAGCTGTACAAAATGAACGGGACAGGATAAGTACGAGAAGAAATACTTTTGATGGCTGCAACATTCCCTCTATTAGCACATTGTCACAAGCTGAGACACTTTCCCGTCAGGTACTGATATCTTCCATAAATTTCTTTAATAGACTTCAAGAAAATATTTTCTGTGGTTAAATACTTTCAGATTCTCATTGTATTCAATGTAATTTTAAAGATTACTTTCTTCCTACTTCCAAAATATACCCAGTTTCCTCTTTCCAATAAAGAATCAGCAACAGAATTCATTCTTAAAGCAAAGTCAATATAAAATTTCTACTTTGTCCTGGACAATATGTCCTAGGCGCCTTTCTTAATAAAGCTTTATGGTTCTTACTGCTTTTAAATCAGTTGCTGTCTCAGGCAGCTGGTGGCGCCTATCTATTCTTGAGGCTTGCTTTCATATGAAGCATTAGTGAAAAAATTGTCGAAACCCATTAAATTTCTAATGGGTGTGGACACTCATTTCCTTACATTCTTTTGAAAATCCCATTTTCAGTATCCTTAGGTATTATAAATAAGGCAAACAGAAGTGTTCCAACTGCAAACTCTTTTCTCAGCTTTCTTTTAAATTTTCTTTGTGTCATCTGAACTTCATTTGCTTTTTTTTTCTTCTTTTTTATCCTATTCAATCAATTGCTGTATGGAACAGTCTCCAGCCCTTTTCTGCAACTGAGATAAATCATGGTCATTGATTCTGCATTCTTGCACCTCTTGCTAACTTAGAATTTAACTGCCACCTTTATGATTTCATGTTGACTGATTTATACATCCCAAAATGTTTTGTAATCTCATCCTTTATCAGCATCTCTCTTAGAGTGGAACTGTCTGTAGAGAATTGATGCAGGAATTGCTGGGTGATAGTCTTTGGCAGATATTGCATGTCTGGGCAGATGAACATAATGGACCTTCCTACCTTTCATAGCTATGCAGTATGAAAAATATACCTATTTTACCTCCTTAGTAATTCTTTTAACTTGCTTATTATGCTTTTTAGTATGTGCATGTGTGTGTCAGTCCCTTAATCATTTCCAACTGACTCATGCAGTTCAGGAATAAGAGCTTTCTTAAAGAGAATCACATCCTCAGTCTTTTCTGCCACTAAGTTCTTGTCAGCTGGTAGATTCCTGTCCTAAAACACCTCCTTGTGAATTCACACAAAAACTTTATTATTCTTATTGTTTGATATGGTGTAGTAAAAGAGAATTGTTTCCAATATGCCAAACCTTAAAGGCCAAGAGGTTATTTTAATGTGATGGAAAAGCCAGGTTCTGGAGGTCCTTGTTTTTGCCTCAGTTGAATGGGCCTGTAATAGTTCAGTCCTGAGAAGGGATTTCAAGAGTTTGTTAGTGTCATACATCATACAATGGAAGTCTTGGGCTGAAAGATCCTTTAAAGACCATCTAGTTACAATTCCCCTGCTCTGGAAAGAGTTGCCACCCACCAGATCAAGGACCCTGGCCTTGGTCACCTTCAGGGATGGGGCTTCCACAGCTTCACTGGACAACCTGTTGCACTGCCATACCATGCTTAAAGTAATTTCCTCCTAACATTTAACCTAAATCTCCCTTCTTTTAGTTTAAAACTGTTCCCCACAGTCCTATCACACTCAGACTGTATAAAAAGTTGGTCTCCCTTCTGTTACTAAACTCCCTTTAAGTACTGGAAGGCCACAGTGAAGTCTCCCTGGACAAGCCCAGCTCCCTCAGTCTTTCTCCGTAAGAGAGGTGCTCTAGCCCTCTCATCGTCCTCATGGCTCTCCTCTGGACTCTCAACAGCTCCACATCTTTCTTGTGCTAGGTGCCTCATGCTTGGATGTAGTACTCCCAATGGGGACTCATGAGGGTGGACAATCACTTTCCTTGCCCTGCTGGCCACCCCTACTTTGATGCAGCCCAGGATGCTGCTGGCTTTCTGGGCTGTAAGTGCACACTGCTTGCTTGTGTAAAACTTTTTGTCTACCACAACCCCCAGGTCCAATACTTGGTCAAGTATTTGAGCTTTGAAAATGAGGAAAAAGGTGTAATTCTTTCATTTTTTAGATTTCATATTAAAATGGGAAAAATGATCTATTTCATCCCCAAGGATTGTTTGTGAGGATAAATCATGCAATTCTCCCACAGATTGAAGGTCTTGGATTGCATAAATGTGTAAGGAAGATGCTTTACTCTCAATAAAGATATGTCACTGACATTCCTCAGGATTATAGGCATGTAGTGTTATGTTGTTTTGTTCATCAAGCTGGTGACACCCATATTTCAACCCAGAGGAGCAATGGAGAAAGAGGAAAGTTGTCTTTTTTATTTCTTTGTTAAGACATGCAGTCCTAGGCATTCATAATGAATCCCCTACTTGGAGGTTCACCAAGTAATTTCAGCACACAGTCCATAATCTTGTAGTTTATCAAGTTGTATAGCAAAAGATATTAAAGGATGAAGTGTGTTTCAAGTTCATGAGTCATTATGTGTAATGATTAAAGAACCTGCATGTTCTTTTCCCTCTTGAACTAACTCCTAGTTGGTGAATGGTGATATATCTATTTTTCTGATAGACCAGAGAGCCTCCTGCTATGAGAATTTTCTTCCCGGTGTAGGTGTTTTTGACTGACAATCAAGACTTTTCTGGAAAGAATGAAATACATTGAATTTCATTATTCTCTTTCTGTTTTTTGTTTTTTTCTAGACTAAATTATTCTACTAGATCCTACCTACCTAAACAATACTCAGTATTTTTTTCAACTTTGTTTTTGTAGAACAGATGCCAGAAATAGACTCGTGTTTACAGCAAGGATTTCACAAATGGTCTGCCTGCAAAGAGACAGTATCTCTACCTCTTTTCCTACATCACTGCCTTTGAATTATCTCTGAGGACTTTATTTTAATCTCATTGACTGCTGTATTCTCCCGAGAACTGACGTTCAGATGGTTAACTGCCATTACTATCTAAGCTGTTTTCAGTGTTTTAGGCTACTGAATTATGTAGGAAGTGCTGGGCTTTAGTTCAGAAGTGCGACTCCCTTTGACCATCTAAGGATAATGGGATTTCACCATGGGTCCCAATGGGTGATTAAACACAGATCTGAGAATGAGGAGGATATGGCAGAAGTCAACCTAAATAAGATCCACAATCCTGAAATTTGTAACTGCAAAAAAATCAAACAGTTTATTGTTATTTATTTTTTTTTAGGGATTGAAGTGGGGAAATAGCAGAGGGGTTACAGGAATAATCAAATCTCAAGATTTAAATATCCTTTCTTGAGTAAAATGTAAAGTGAAACTGTTTCAATGGTCTCATACATTACTTTGTTCTGTCCCTATTTTAACTTAAGAAGTTAGTAACACTTTTCACTGGAAGAATTTGGTACCCATTTTCTCTTTCTTTCTTTGCCTTTCATTTTATTGCATATAAACTCTTTCTTTTTCCTAAAAAGAGAGAAATTACAGCAATTTTAAAGGAAAAAAAATCAAAACCTGAACCTAAACAAAACAAAACCCTCCTGTTTACAGACAGTGGAGGCTTTAGAATTTTTACAAGTAGTATTTTGGAGGGAGGAGATATTGTACCAATGTATGAATAGCGGTAATAAATGTGAAATTAAGTTTTATAATTTTTATGCAGACTGTTCTGTCTGTATTGTCTATATAGTCAAGGAATTGCTTAAGAGTATGTGATAACTGCTGTCATTCTTTTTTTTTTTTTTTTTTTTTTTTTGTTTTAAAAATGAAACTATATGAAATTCAACATTATTAATTTTTTTCTTTCAATATGTCCAGATCTCAATCTCCAGTCCTGGTGCAAGCACTGACATAAATGCTAAGAAAATTGCTGGTATTAGTGATGTCTGTGAATCTATGAAGCAGCAACTTTTGGTCCTGGTGGAATGGGCTAAATATATTCCTGGCTTCTGTGAATTACCACTGGATGACCAGGTACAAGAAAAGACCAAAGGGAGAACATTATAACTGTCTTTTTCTTTCTGTAATATTTTAATTATATGAGAAAACAATAATGCAGTGTCTGATCAAATACAGCTTGATACTACATGCCTGATATTAAAACCTTTTTTTTTTTCCTTTTTTTAAATTTTGAAGTAACACCACCATGGAAAAATAGAAGGATATGATATGGCTCTAGCCTGCTAAAAGAAAGAATCACTTCTTCAGCAAACTAGTAGTCATTTAATGTTTTGTGCTTTCTTTTGGATAGCAGAAATACCAAGATGAGTGCAGAAATGAAAAAAATATTGTAAAAAATCGTGATTTTTTCTGATCTTCCAAAGTATTTATTTTATGTCCATCTTTCACTGTAATATAGTTTAAGGCCGCCTGTTATTTAATTTAAAGCAGATTTTCTCTGCTTTCAAAAAACAAAAGCCATAAGAATCTTGAGCAAATGCCAAACACGTGCTGATGTCACACTGTAGCAAGTAATATTTCATGTGATATAATGTACTCAAATTATATTGTAAATAACAAAAGTGTAGAGAAAAAAAATCGTCAAAACGTGAAGGGTTCTTCAGGGTCTTCATTACAGAGGTCTGTCTTATCATCTCATTTGTAATGCAGCTAATGTTTAGTGATTTTCAAAGCCAACCATGTTGGCACACATAGAACAAGTGTCTTCACGTTGTGGTAGGCTTGTGGTCTTGTCACCAACTTCCTGGATAGAAGATTAATTCATGGCTTGGGATCTCAGTGATGTCTGATTTAGCTTGAAAATTACTTTGAGAAGTGAAATTGAGCAATTCCTCTTTTTTTTTTTTTTTTTTTTTCTTTTTCTTTTTAGTCTTTCAGTTTTTAACAAAGTTTCATCAAGAAGATTAGATAATTTGGTTTGAAATTAAAACTGAGTCCTTTTATATGCTTTCTCAGAAATACGGGGTTGGTTCAGACACAGAGGATAAGCCCCCACACTAGTACTTTGCTATGTGTGCAGACCCATGGAATATTATATATATGCACAACCTCAACAGACAAGTTAAAAATCTGTGAAAGAAAGAGAAATGTAGTGTTAGATCTTTAAATACAGTGTTCTACAAAATCACTGGAAGCAAGCAAAAAACAAGTTGCTAAGATGACATGAAAATATGGAAAGGATCAGATGTCAGTAAGAAGTTACTGTCTTTACTTAAATGAAAAAAGTCATCAGTACAGATAGATAAGTTAAGGCTGAGAATGCGCTACTTCAAGAGTGCATATTTGGGAAATATTCCTGAACTTTGAATACCTTCGAAAATTAATGACAAAGGTATTGGGAATTAAAATAAATGTCAATTTATTTATTTATTTATTTATTTATTTATTTATTATTTTTGTGATAACTTCTTTTTAATGTGCATTGTGTGTTTATTTATCACATTAATCATCTGGTTTGTGACGAATGATTCCTGATCTTGGAATCAGACCGTGGAACAGCCAATCTGGATGAGTCAACTCTACTGAGATACATTAAGTATTCCTAGGTTTACATCACCCATAAAGAATGGGCTTGGCTTCATAAGGAAATGCTTGCACAGAGAGAAATGTTGTGAGTTAACAGAGGTCAATGCTGAAGCTTCAAGGAGATTTTAAAAGGGAAAGTAAATAGGTGACAAAGAGTAAACTAATGATCACATATGGTACCACCTTCCTGATAGGAATCAAGTTTCTTCATTGTTTACTGTAGTGTATATTTTAGCATATCTGGTGTTAGGGAAAAAGCTCTTTTATGTAACGCATACAATTTTGATGACAGAAATCAAGGAGTGACAATGAAGAATTTACTATTATGGTTCATTCCAGCCCACTGGAGTCTTTGACACCAACCTAAAATTTTAGAGCAAAATTTGTTAATGAAATAAAGGCAAGGAAATAAATAGAAGAACTGTACTGACTTAGAAGTATTTTGTAGAATTATATTTTTAAGATCATCCCCAACTGCTAGAAGTGACAAGGAATGATAATTTCATTATAATATTATAATTATAAATTATAAATACAGTGTTATACAGTGGAAGGTTTTTATATTTATTTGACATTTTACTGTATGACCTTACAGTACATGTAGCTAAAAGTACTCATGTTCATATGCATGGTAATTCATTTTGCCCTTTCTTGGAAGTTACTGCTTTATTTTCTAATGAGTCTGCTATTTTTTTTAAGGTTGCACTGCTGAGAGCACATGCTGGGGAACACCTGTTGCTTGGAGCAGCAAAACGGTCCATGGCGTATAAGGACATTTTACTTTTAGGTAAATATTGGTTTTATTTCAATTAATAATGATGATGACATAGTACACTAGCAACCACGTAGTCATTTAAGTGGGACAACTGTTGTGACATAATCAAAGCAATGCATGCTGTAAATGCTAAATAGCTATTAAAGGTATAATGTCATCTTCCCTGTTCCAGCAAAAGCAGAATACCAGAAGCCACAATTTAGAGATTTCCTAGCAAGTGATTTCCTTACGTTAGCATCATTTTTTTGTCTTTATCCCATACAAAAAAAAAAAAAAAAAAAAGAAGAAAGAAAAAAAAAAGAGAACTAAACAACACAATAACAACAAAAACCACCACCAGTACCAAAATCACATCTTCATTTAAGAGGAGAGATTAATTTAATAATTTCAGTCTCATGAAAACCATTTACCTGGTTCTTTCCTAAAAGCTCTTCAGAAATTATCACAGAAGATCCTATAGGCTATGAAAGTGGATGGACTGTTCCCTGCAGTTGTCTTTCCCAACATCTTTTTCACTGCTGTTTTGACAGCTGCCGTGTGTCACCGTGCAAGGAGCAATCCTGTTTTTCCCTGTCGTGTTGGATGTAGATACCTACATGTACAGAACACTGTGATTGTTGCATGTGTAACAAATCATGCAACAGGCATATGCTTGACCATAACCTTTGCTGGGTTTTGTAAAGAGACCAGAGCTGTTAGCAAAGAGAACACTGTCACACTGTAGGAGCAAGTCTTCCCTTCTGTCACACAACAGAGGCACAGTCATATGATGAAATATGTGCCTGTGTGCATAATGGCATGATGAAACATTTGGTAGCAATCTTTGACACAGCAACCTGCAAGTCTAAAGTGCACCCTACCAAAAATGTCCTCACTTAATATGTTCAATTCTTTAGCCGTTTTGTAAGAAAGTGTTGAAGTCTTATTTGGACAGCTGAAGCGAGTCAATACTATGCAGAATATCAACTCAAACTAGTTTGTTCGTTAGTGTTGTGGTACAAAGGAGTTTTCTGCTACTTCTTTGGGTTTGCCTTTCCATAGCTGTGATTCAGTTTGAATTTTCTTTCACACGCACCATAAGGACAGAAAGGGCTTACTCTGAAGATATTACTGGCATCAGCAATATTTTCAAATTAGAAACTATATAGATTACTTTTTTAGTCTAGTACTTTCTCTAGCTGTCACTTTACTGACAAAATTAACATAAATAATACAATTTTATCAGGATTATTAAATAATAAGGACAAATAATGGGAAAATAATAAGCAGAAAATTGTAGTCAGCATTACCACAATCAGCATACATACTGAAGGAAGAAACAGTTTGAGGCTATGCTTATTTCTGATACTTCGAGGTAGATATCTGTATAGTTTATGAGGCATTTTGGCATGGATCTCTTGTGATATGTTCATCAACTCTTCTTTCCAAAATGACTTTGTGGCTTCTGGAAGCTCTGTGGTCTTCCCACTGTTCTCACCACTTATGTTAGATGCTTTCTTGTACAGTAGTTGAGTTAAGATATTAAGATGGTGACTTACCCAAAATGGAAATTTAAAATGAAAAGAAGAGGCAAAATTGATTATTTACTGAAAGTTTTCTGATGCTTCTACATTTTGTTGGGAATAACAAAAGAATTTGTTGGATAATGAAGCATTCCTGTTGTCTTCTCTGAAAAAAGGGTTTTTGTCCACTGAAAAATCTGATTATTCATCTTGGGATACAATGAGCAGAGAAAAAAAGTTAGATCTGCTTACTGGTGTCTTTATCTTTTGTGTAAAGGCTTGCTTATTCCATGCTTGTGCATTCAAATGTCCATCTCAGTTGCGTGGACTAGTAAGTAACTACACATGATGGCATATTTACCCACACAGTTTATTCACTAGATGAGAGCTTTAATTGGTACGTATGACTTTATTTGCACCATTAAATTTTTGTATGCTATAAAGGAGAGCTATTGAATGAAAAAATACTATTTTGATTAAGCAAAATAAAATATATTTTTGAAAATGATTTTCATCATGTAGTATATTGCATCTAAATCTTTATATCAATCTACATGTTGGTATTCTTTCTTTCCAAGGTAACAACTATATAATCCATCGCAACAGCACTGAAGTGGAGATCAGCCGAGTGGCAAATCGAATCCTAGATGAACTAGTTCGACCCTTCCAGGAAATTCAGATAGATGACAATGAGTATGCTTGCTTGAAAGCCATTGTGTTTTTTGATCCAGGTACATTCCTGAAAATATATATCAGAATTATTGTTAATTATTGATTTTGTTCAGATTACATTGTAAGTGATTTTTGTTGATATAGCATGTGCTCATGATATCTAGCTGGAAGGAAAAGAACAAAATGGAAAAAAAAAAAAAAGTAAGACACTCCAACCAAATAAAAATTTAGCTTGGTTGTATGCTTTTGTCATTTTTCAGATGCGAAAGGCCTGAGTAATCCAATGAAGATTAAGAACATGCGGTACCAAGTCCAAATCAGTTTAGAGGATTATATCAATGACCGTCAGTATGACTCCCGAGGAAGATTTGGAGAGCTTTTGCTTTTACTGCCTACACTCCAGAGTATCACTTGGCAAATGATTGAGCAAATACAACTGGTTAAACTATTTGGAATTGTTAAAATTGACAGTTTGCTTCAGGAAATGTTACTGGGAGGTAAATTAACAACATCTCAAACTTTCCATGCTGTATTCTGTTGAATTTAGCACACTGAGATGCTGAGGGAATCATGATGTAAGCAAGCACTTTGACCAGGACCACACTAACAGAGCTTCAAGTCATATAATCGGTAGCTAAATGCTTGTCCTGTCTGCTCATCTTGTTCCCTCAGTCTTACAGCCTCAGATTGTGCTTTGTACTTCTTAGTCTTTTCTGGATTTTTAGACACAGAATTCTCGTGACAGATTATGGAATTCTTACAAATATTTCAAGAAGTCCGCTGTTAATGCAGTCAAAACAGTGCAAATAAATACAGTGCTTAATGTGGTTGAAATCTGGTTAAATTGTTTAATGAATACCCAGAGGCAATTATTCAAATTGCCAATCAAAATATTTGCTCTGCCGAAATGTAATTATTGCAGTATAAATTGCTGGCAACAATCTGCTATTCTAAACTGATATACGCTCATGTTATTTTTGCAGGTACTTCTAATGATACCAGTCATTTACATCATCCAGTACATCCTCACTTAGCCCAAGATCCATTAACAGGCCAAACCATCCTCATAAGTTCAATGTCTGCTCCTGTACATGCAGAACAGATTTGTAAGTAATTTCAAGTTAGCCTTCCATCATAACATTTTAGTCTTACAGTTTAACATTAATTAAAATGGTGACCTGTCAGTGCTTATAGAGTTATTTCATAAAGAATAAAATAATTATGCATTAAAAACATGTTTGTTAACATGCGATAACTAAGAGTCTTTGACTTGAATTTAATCTAATTTTAACAATTTAGCACCATTCTGATACATCATTGGTTTTATGTGCACAATTTCCGATAAACTGAAATCTGCAATAATGTCCTATTTGCCTAGTATGACAAACGTAGAAGAACTGTATTTGGGGTCAGTAGTATGTATATATGTGTGCAGAATTGGACAGAATACAAAAAAGTGCAATTCTTTCTGAATTCTTTTTCAGCAACACCAGAGACTCCATTACCTTCTCCTCCTCAAGGCTCTGGACAAGAATACAAAATGTCTTCAAATCAGGCTTCAGTAATTGCACAGCAGTCTATTTTGAAACAAAAATCATTGTGATAATATTTCTTGGTCTTGCTCTTCCTACCTTCCTTATTTCCTCCATTCTTTCCCTTCAGTTCTCCCTCCTTCCATTCCTCATTCCTTTTTATGCACTAGATAATTTGGTAGGAAACTTGCACATTTAAAATCTCAGGATGATAAAGGAGTTTATTTCCGCAGCAGCCACTACTGTGGGTGTTTCTTGAGACCCTTTGTGATTTGGAAAGTAATACTGTCTGACTGCTATGCAGACTGTAACTCTGGACACTACAGTCTGATAAAAATGTATAAAGGTTGATGTTATTTTTAGATCTTTTAAATGCACAGATTCATTTTTTTTTTAATTTTCTGTTTTAGTTGTCATCTTTATATTATTGTTTTAGTTGTGTATATAACTTTTTTTTTCGTTGTGACTGAACTGTCTAGGGATTGTTTACCTGTGAATTGTAGGCATGAAAAAGTTCATTAGTCAAACCAAAGCCAAGATTCCAAAAACAAAGCACATATACTGAATAAAAATGAGGAAATACTGAATGGATAGAAGTATTCAGTATGTTTTCAAAAATACTGATTTGAAAGAAGCATCTCTTTCAAGTAAAATTTCAACAAAAGAGTTGAATCCTCCATGCAGCAAATTTGTATGAATTAGAGGGGGGGCTTGCCATGTGCGAAGATGTTTGAGAACTCTTTGAAATCTGCATACACAGTAATGTCTATATTACTCAATGAGACAGTACCTAGGCATGGATGTATAGACACCAGAGTGCTATCATTTATATTACTAAAGAGTTAAAAAGGGGGCTGAATTTTTTATGGTCAGGACTGTTTCTCTCCCAGACAATTTCTCAGGGCATTTTGGGAATTAGGCCTGTCTAGGGACACTTTTTACTGTGCACTTGCAATATTGCCATTTTTCTTTACAGTGAATAACTGTAGAAACATGTCCAGGCCATGTCAGTTGACCTCAAGACTGGAGAATATAGACTTTGTACTGTTTAACTTACTAATGTAAATGTAGCCATTGTGTTATTTGTCTGACTGTCTGGTGAGTGCATGGCAATCACTCTAAACTTTACCTACAGAATAACTGTATCAGAGCTGCTCTGAAAGTAATGCCTCCTATTTTATTATGCTGTGTCACAACAGCAGAGGTGGATGTTGGTAGTATGGCAGTAGAGATCAAACCTTACCACCAATAATCCATTGTGTTTTGTTGCCATGTGATGGATATCAGTGGAGAGGCAGTCTGATATGTCTGGCATGGAAGCGTGTGTGAAGCAAAAGTATGGAATTGAATTCCTTTATGTGGAAAAAATAGCACTTATTGATATTCATCAACACTTGCTTAATGTTTATGGAAGCCAAACAGTGGTTTTGAATGCAGGGATGCAATGTGTGCATTTCAGCACTGGTGAAAGCAGTGACAGTTTTCTGGACCACCTGATGTTACTACTATGAGCCTGAGTCAAAATGGCAGTCCATGGAGTAGACACATGAAATTCTTTACAGAAGAAAAAGTTCAAGATTCAGCCTTCAGCAGGAAAGGTGATGTGCACTATCTTTTGGGACAAAAACGGGGTGATTCTTCTGGATTTCCTGGAACCTGGACAAACCATCAACTCTGACAGCTACATCATGAGACTAACTAAGTCAAAGGTTCAAACTTCCAGAGTCAGACCACAGAAGAAGACAGCCTTTCTCCTGCAACACAGTGCCAGGCCCTTTACCAGTTTGAACATCATGGAAAACATAACCAATCTGGGCAGCACTGTCATATCACACCCACCAGATAGTCTAGATTTGGTGACTTTTGACTTCCATCTATTTGGGCTGATGAAAGATGGACTACATAGCCAACATTTTTCTATCGACAGTGTCAAGAAACTGTGAAACAGTGGATTACCTCCAGTGGTGCATATATTTATGGGTGCAGCATGCAGGCTCATGTTCATCACTGGCAAAAATGCATAGCTAAAGCTGGTGACTGTTGAAAAATAGCATTTTGTAGCTGAGAATTTGGTCTATCAATTAATGTTTTTGTACTCCTGTTGCAGTTTCCATGAAATAAATAGGAGGCATTGCTTTCAGAAAGAACTACATATTTATATTGCAGACCTATGTCTGAAGACAGATGATTTGCTAACTAAAGTGACAGACATGCCTGAATTCAACTCCAAATGTTCCTCATTCGAGCCATGGTATTTCAAGCTATGAAGATAACCAGCACACCATGTACTTTCCATTCGGATTTTCAAGTGTTTGGTATGAATTGACTTACTGTGATGAGTCCCCCTTGACTCATCTTCCTTCTTTCCCAGTTTTGAAGAATCCAGAATTGATTGAAATTTTCCTTCTGGAGTCTATATTAACTGATCTAGATATAGACCCTCTGTCAGTTTGCACAAAGGGGCTGTTGTGACACATGCTCACATGGGCATATATTCGTTAAGAATTTTTGAAAATTATCTCTTATAAAACATGAAGTGATTATTTTGTTCATACAGTAGTGATATCGTAAGAAAATTGCCACTTTGCACATTTTATTTATTCCAGACAGCAATGCCTTTCTTTACTTCAAAGTAGGTGTTTGTTTGTTTTTCCCCCCAGAATATACAAAGTATATTTTTCCCCCCTATATACAAAGTAAACAGAAAAAATATTTGCAGTTTGCTGAACCATGGCAAAGATGAAATACAATGGGGTCAGAAATTCTGCAAGGTGAGAAGTTGTTCATCCTGAATCAGACATTTGCATGCAAATCACAGCATCCAAAGACGGTATAATTAAACCACTGGCCTTTAAAGTTACTTTGCATACTTTTTTTTTTTTTTTTTTTTTTTTTTTTTTTTAGGCAGAAAATACACAGTAAATATTGAGCTGACCTAAACATTTAAAGGGCTTTAATGAAAATACATTTACCACAAGGTAGATGCTGTGTTTCTTCTTGTTATTTTGAAGTTGCTTTTGTACTTAGGTCTGCATACAATAGCTCTTAAAGTTTACCTTTTGCTTTATAGAATGCGTTTTTCTTTTTGCTGGTTACTGGTTGTTGTTGGTTTTTTTTTTTTTGTTTTTGTTTTTTTTTGCTTGTTTTTTATCAATTCATTGCTCTTTTTACTAGACCCTTTTAGTGAGACTTTTTATGACAGAATAAAGTATCAAAGTTTTGCCATTAACTTTAGGGGTATAGAACTGTGCTGTTTCTCCATGTAGTCCACCAGCTTTCTCACAAAGTGAGAAAAAGGATAAAGCATGCATGAGACACCCAAATGTTGACTGAGGTCACTTTTGTGACACTCTCAGAAAGTGAATGTTTGGCTGTGGTTGGATATGTGTGACTTTTCTGGGCGAGATTAAATAAGCCAGTTTTGTGAATATGACAGGATCGGTCTGACTAAATAAAAGTAACTTGAAATATAAAATGGCCCCCAAGTTAGGACACCGTGCCTTATATAAGCAATTAACGTAATAACATAATGGGCTTAGTTTTCACACTGTTGTTTAGATATTAAATGTACAATAACATGGTTTCACACACTGCCAAAATGTACTGGATGAAAAACATACTTTAGTATTTTATCTTACTAAAAGATGTTATCTATTTTGTACAATATATTACATTTTTGAATAAGATGAACACCACTGTAATTTATTGGGAAAAGCTGATTTATTTTATAACTGTAACATTATTTTTGTAAGCTTAATTATTCAAAATCAAAAATGATTAGCTTTGTTAAATATTAAATTATAATAAGATGTAACTTTACATGTTTGAACTCTGATACCAAGTTTTTGTGTTGAGCATTTGGAATTGAAATGGTTTCTGGAAATATTTCAAATGGACTGTTTTTCATCAAAATTCAATAAAGAAAAATGAATGATCCAAATGGCACGTTTGCCTTTGTTAATTATTATTATTATTATTATTATTTTACTATTTACATAAACATTGATGACACTTTCTATTGCTTATCTTATGAATAGGCATAAAACTGTAACATGCTTTCATCTGTGCAGTATTCACAGAATCACAAAATGGTTGAGATTGCAGGGAACTCTGGAGGTCATCTGGTCCAACTCTCGTGTTCAGGCAGGATATTGAAATCATATGAAAGAATACAATGGCAACATTTTAGTTGATTCTCCTGTAACATGACAAAGTATTACATAGGTATGTTTTTCAGTTTTTAATTCCGCCTCAGAAAAAAAAATGAAGCATGTGCTTAATGCCATCTGTATTTAAAATGAAGCATATGTTCAACAGCATTTTCTCTTTTTTTCTGGGCAGGGATAACTTAATAAATCACTCCCTTTTGTTTCTTAGAACATTGCTACTTAGGCTAATGTAGTTACAGCTATTCTATTTACTTTCTAGGTAAATACATTTAAAACTCAAACTGATTTTTTAATATAGACCTTTTTATATAAGCAGTATCTCCTGAGTTTTGAAAAGTATTTTTACTGTGTATAGATTTTCCGTAGAAGTAGATTTGAGGAAGGTAGGAAAGAGGGAAATAACACCATAAATTGGGGTAATTGCTTTTGCTCAAATACCTTCTAGTTCTTTTGAGCTTCTGGACAAATCTTTCACGGGAGGAAGAAGAAACTGCACTTATGAATGCTGGAGGACTCCAGGTCCCATTGAGAATGATATGTTTCTGGCTGATTACTCTAGATAAAGGGTTTACGTGCTTTTTACTCATAAGTGCTAAGTTGAATGAAAAAAAAAACATATACGATTTTAAACAGTAGAAGTGATTTTCTTTCAGCCTACAGCGGAGCCTAAATCTTCAGTGACGTGAAGTGCTGATAGACAGACCCTTCTTTAAGGATTTCCATAAATGAAGTTTAGAAACAACCTCAAGAAGTGAATCAGGAGCATATATTTTGCAGAAAGAGGTGGACATATTAGTTTTCAGGTCAAATCACTGTATAGCATTTCTCCCAGTTAAGGAGTTCTGAATATGGTTGAAGGTATTTATTGAATTTCAGAAACCTTCTGTGACAGAAAATTTGATGTTTCCAGAATAAAAAGATAAAATCCATTACAGCTCTCATTTACTATTTGTGTACTTAGCAGTCCTGTTTTCATTTGAAGATCTGTGCCAGTCCATGACAGTCTAAAACATGTCTTTCCAAGACACTATTTCTAATTATGTACCTCCAATATTTGTGTTATTTACGGAATCATAAAATGGCTTGGGTAGAAAGGAACCTTAAAGATCATCTGGTTCCAGCTCCCCTGCCATGAGCAGGGCTGCCATCTGCTAGATGAGGCTACCCAGAGCCCCCGAACATCTCCAGGCACAGGGCATCCACAGCTTCTCAACGCAAACTTTCAGTGCCTCACTGCTTTCATAGCAGTAAATTTCTTCCTGATAGATAATCTAAATCTACCCTCTTTTGGTTTTAAACTGTTATCTCTTTTCTGGTCATTACAATACCTGATAAAGTGTGTTTCCCCATCT